GTGTTTATTATAAAATTATGATTTACCATGTAAAAATCCGTAAAATGTTGTTGGTGATCCTTGTTATAGACTTCCTGCCAGGCTACTGGAGTCTAACGCCCGTATTCTAAAAGCTCATTCACACTCACACTCAATGAGTGGAGGTTCAATCTGAGCTTTTCTTGAGTGTCAGTGCTGTTTTTGAATAGCTGGAGGGTGAGTAATCACATAGTAAGGTATGACACTAGCCCTCCAGCTATTCAAAAACAGCAATGACACTCGAGAGAAGCTCAGATTGAACTTTAGAATGCGGGCGTAAGTATTACGGCGTTTGAAATAACGGCCGATCACCGGACATTATCCGTTCAGAATAAAGTATATGTTGGCAAATCCTTGGGTCGCCGGTAATTTTTTCCGGTCAATTCGTGTGTTTTAAAAGGAAATTTAATTTAATTTTAAGGAATTCGTGTCAATTTTCTTTCAAAAGCGCATAATGACGAACCTTATCATATTGACCTAAGTCAGTTAGCTGTATGTCACGTTTAAATTCTTCGCTTCGCATCCAAGAACTACATTTATCTTCAGGTTCTTTGAGTACAGGGACCGTCTTAAGTCTTCTTAACGATATGACCAAGTCCGAGAGACGACTTAACGAGACGACCAAGCCTGAGTACGAAACGGTTATAAGAGTACGAAATGACTGGGGTACGAAACGACCATAAAGCAAGAAAACAGTTTGAGTCATGAACAGTCCATGGTGTCATCAATTCGCAATTCAAAGTGGCACATTTGCTAATTATTCTTCATGAGCGCTAGTACGAGAAAGAGAAGGGAACTCAAAGGCAGACGCCTCAACAGATAAGCTTTCATTATATTAGATAAGCTTTCGTCAAACGTTGTTCAGTGACAAAACAATGATTTAATGATTATTTCGTGAACCGTGTGACAACGCTTGTTTCAGAAATCTTGTTTTCCCTGAACTGTATATATATACAGGGTGTATCAAAATAAACGCAATTCATCTTTTGTGCTTAATAACTTTCGAAATACTGTTTCTAGTTAAACGCTTTTAGGCTTACTTCAAAGCCTATTCTTTTTTCTTTCAAACAAACTATTATCCTTGTCTCCAATGCTAGTAATAATTGCACAGGAAAAGATTTAGTAAAACCTATCATTTTTAGTTGCTGTTTAATTATGCAAGTTTACTATGTTATTGTTTAGTCGGTTTAAATGTTAG